TGGCATATCACTTTAAGACCAAATTACACCAAAAAAGGCCATGAAATACATGAAAATATCGGAAGTGTACATAAAATATAGTCACTTGAAGTTGACAGGGAAATTGAGCTTGTACGGCCTTCTAAAAGTGAATTTTTGGAGACTCTAGCAAGCTTCCCAATTGCCCACTTCGGGCATCTCTATTTGCATCTCCTGTGCTTTTTCCTCAGCTGACATCACTGGATGACGTCAGTTCAGAAAAGAATACAGACATGCAAAACTAAAATGTAGAGGTGCAAATCATCCGCCATTACTGGCTTGTGATGGCTTTTACAAGGTAGGGCAATAGTATTTTAAACGTAACAGGAGAACCGTGCATATTTATTGTAAATGTGTCTGATAGCCAGGTAACACTAGCTATGTCAATTGCAATTAGCTAAGGTCATATTTTGGTGTCATGGGCACTTAAATTCTGATTGCGAGGGCCATCTTTCTAAATTTCTTCACCGAAGCACACACACACACATACACACACACATGTATACTTAGTGTCTACCAAAGATATAGCATTCTTAGTAATGGTTATAATATATTTTTTTTAATTCAAAGTTCCGTACCTCTTTTGGGTGATAAAACCAATCGATTCTATTGACATATGCGCAAGTGACGGGCTACGTGTATATGAATATCTGAAAATGTCATTAGGTTCCGGACCTACGCAACTGCCTCAGACTGACTGGCGAGCACGTGCCGACGCCGCTGCGCGTATTCCCAACCCTATATACAGCTCTAGAGCAGGTAAAATATATTCAGTTAAGACCTAGTATTGTTTTGCTTCTACAGCTATAGGTATGTTCACGTTCTGAACGTTGTGAACTTTTTTCCCCCGATGGGTGCCGGTCCCTGCTATCGTGACCTGTATTGCATTGATCTGTTGTGAAGTATCGGGTTCAAAACGTTAGCCTTTAACATTTTTGTAATTTCTTTAATGAGTTTTAAAGGGGGTTGCAACTTTACGTCTTAGATTTCAGGACAAAATATCTAAATAGCAAGATGTCATGTAATATTAAAACGATGTAGAAAAAAAGGATGTCTTCGACTGTGATTTCTATGTCATATTATAAACACTTTTGTTCAATTCATGGTGTCTTCTATTTACACAATTTTGCGTTTGGTTTGATACTTTTAAAGTATCAGCTGTTAATTAATTTAATCAGAAAATGTCATTGGTATTTATTTAAATATATATTATGTTAATGTTTAAAAGTAGCCACTGAAAAGAAGAAGAAGAAGGGACGCGCCTGCGCGCTGCAAATCTTCTACAATCTTGTCACCGTGATCATCGCTGTTCTATTGTCTTATTTTGTAGGTCAGTTTCCTTTTATCGTCTAATGAATTTGGCTTATCAAATGGATGATTTTGAAATCTTAAAATCACATCATTATTGAACATTAGAGTTGGTGACTTCCACTCTCTATTTTATTGCAAAAACAGTAAGATTCACTGTTTTCGAGAAGGTGGAAACGTTGAAAACGCGTGTACAGGAGTTGGAAGGTAAGTGGTAATATTTATTCCATACATGTTATGCGTGAAATATTTTGTTTTTCCTCATGTTTATTTTTCTTTTCGTCTTCTCCTGCCATCTTGTTGAATGGATTCAATTTTTTTAGTTTAGGGCCAAAAGACCTGACATCTGGTGTGGAGGTATATTAGGCGAATGCCTTTTATCAGTTTTTTTAAATATAGGCTTTAAAGTTGTTTTATTTGGGTTTTTATATGTATTGTGTCGTGTGTTAATTCGGTAAAAACTCAATACAACTTGTTAACAGCAAGACCCAAGGTAGCTATATGCTAGGAAGTTTAGATTGCATTCAGTAATTCGTTCTCACTCACGCCTGTTAGTAAAACATTGTGCACACTAAGCCCACCACTTTGGTGAAAATCTGTATTTTGACTATTTCTATGACATATTAATATTAAAAAAATTAATTCAATAAGTTTGCAAACCCCATGTCAGGTCTTCGATTTCACTTATGAATGTTAAAAAAATCAGATTAAAACTTTGCGACCGCAAAATGTAGACCGCAATGCATAGGTTAAATTCTATTGTCCTTTTTGCGTTTAATGTTGTCTACATATTGATAACAATCATGTAAATGATGAAATTTCATCTTAATTAGGTCGAAAAAGTTAAATATATCATGTTCCATGTAACGTGTCATTTAGGTTTATGTATTTAGTCAATTCATTTTGGACCTCATTTTTGTTTATACGTGGATTTAGAGCTGTGCACCCATTTTTTTTCTCTGGGTGCACCAGTGCACCAACCAATGCACCAAATTTTGTGTAGTTTTTAATTAGTAACGTTTAACACTTACGTGTCACCATTGTTGTACTCCGTGTACCTAAGACGCGCTTTGGACTATAATGGGGGTGATACAGAGCTAGCTGTAAAATCGCATGTATCTCAAGTTTGGTGTGACCAATCAACTTCAAATTTGGAAGTAACTTAGAGAAAATACCAATGGTTCTAAATAATCACTTCTTTCTTCAACAATCTGCATAATTGTTTGATAATTGATATTAATATTAGATTATTGTGAGGCGATAAAATCGGCCTAGATCAAACCATTCTGCTCAGAATTGTAATACTGAACTTTCAGAGAATGTAGAGAGATCCCCACTTTATAGGTCCCAACGCTTCGTTCACACAAGGAGGTTTTAATTCTATCTCTATGGTTCACACAATGCATTAACTCTAGTACAAAAATGTACCTCCTTGATTAGTCCGTAATATAATCTCCTGGAATTCGGTATACACTACGTATTCGGTATACACTACGTATTGGTACTGAAATGGAGAACAAAGATTGTCTGAACATGGCTGAAATCAAGGAGGTTATTACCTCGCACAGTTGAAGTCGGGCTGCATCGCCAATTTATAAGACTCCGTTATATAGACTTGAGATTCTGGTGGATACATGCTGTATTTAGGAAAATGTTTTGTTTTTCATTCTTAGTATCTTTTTAAGCATGTTGCAAGCTATTAAGTCGTCTTACGTAGAAGGACAAGAACACTGAAAATTCAAAAAGGTGTGAAGTTAGCACAAACAAATGCAAAATAGCAGGAGGGGCAGTGGGTGGTAAAGCTACAGCAATTATCACTATACCTATTGCATATTATGATCCTCTACTCGCACCCTGCTCATTTAAATGCCATTATGATATTAAAATGGGGTCTTTGCTGGGGGAAAGAAAGCGCGTCTTAGGTACACAGAGTAGTTCTTTCGAAATGAAGCATAATGAGTTGTTGCTGATTTGCTTATTTTATTTTATATGGTGCACCAAACAAAATTTTTCTGCACCCAATTTTTCAGGTCGGGTGCACTAGTGAACCTATTATTAAAATGAATTTCGAGCGCTGTTATGACATAAACAACACAATTACTCTTTTTTAAAAGAAGGTCAGGCAAAAATGAATGGATCTGCTGGGCCACCAGGTCCTCCTGGTCCACCAGGAGAAATTGGACCAAAAGGGCCAGCTGGCCCTGTGTCTGCTGGTCAAGCAGGCCCCCTGGTCCACCAGGAGAAAGGGGACCAATAGTTCCTGTTGGCACTGTGTCTGCTGGGCCACCAGGCCCTCCTGGTCCACCAGGACCAAAGGGACCAGTAGGTCCAGCTGGCCCTGTGTCTGCTGATCCACCAAGCCCCCCTGGTCCACCAGGACCAAAGGGAGCAATAGTTCCAGCTGGCCCTGTGTCTGCTAGTCAAGCAGGTCCTCCTGGTCCACCAGGACCAAAGGGAGCAATAGTTCCAGCTGGCCCTGTGTCTGCTAGTCAAGCAGGCCCTCCTGGTCCACCAGGAGAAATGGGACCAAAAGGGCCAGCTGGCCCTGTGTCTGCTGGTCAAGCAGGCCTCCCTGGTCCACCAGGAGAAAGGGGACCAATAGGTCCTGTTGGCACTGTGTCTGCTGGGCCACCAGGCCCTCCTGGTCCACCAGGACCAAAGGGACCAATAGGTCCAGCTGACCCTGTGTCTGCTGGGCCACCTGGACCTCCAGGAGAAATGGGACAAGTTGGGCCACCTGGCCTTGTGTCTGCCTGCCATGGGCCATCTGGACCTCCAGGAGAACCAGCTCGTTGTTGTACTGAAGCTGACATTTTTTTTTTTTATTTTACGCCATGCCATAAGTATGAACGAAATGTGTTTTTTTCATGTTTTTTTATTTTATTTTTTCACCTCCTGTCATTTCCAAAGTTCATTAAACGTCAGATGAACCTCATGCAGGGAGGAAGGGTAACCTGAGACTTAATAGCCTTAGACTTTGTTTCTTGTGGGGTGTGTGGTTGTCCCAGGTTTTTGAAATTGCTGTATTGTTTTGCATTGTATTCTAAGCTTCAACATGCCTTTTACATACTTTGTAAGCTTAGCCTGCCATTTTGACCTTATTTGATAAAGGGGATCGGGAGTTAAATTTAAAGGCTCCATATCAGACTTGCATGATTTGGTAATAGTTTACATTAGCAGAAGTTATATTAAGAAATATCCACTTTGGCAAACGCGATTTTTATAATATTTGGTATGTTGTTCAAAAAGCCCAAAGGCAGTTTTCCTTTAGTTGGCTCAAGTTTCTCATGCATGGTCTGTTTTTCTTTCCTCAGATAGCTTTTTCTACTATCGTAGAGTGGAATTCGTTGCCACCAAGCATAGTTGCATCATCACTAGAAAGCTTTAAACAACTCCTTGAGTGATTAAGTGTAACAAGTCGTTTGATGTAAAAAAATGTAGCTGCACCACGTGAGTGCGAATTCGAAGCTGATGTGTTGCGCCGAATGGCGGTTTAACTGGCTATACACTGTCAGATACAGATTTTGATGCTTAAAAATTAGTGGTGGACTTCAGTCTACCAGCAGCTTGTTCTTTAACTAAAGGAATAATTTCTGATGTCTTCAGGGCACTTTCAATACCAACCATGTCTTCCTTAGATGGATATTTACGAATAACCGGTACATTTTTTTTAGTCAGCTGTCCTCTTGGGTATTGGAAATGGCGTGGAACCTGCTACAGTGTCGTCAACGACAAAAAGTCATTCAGCAACGCGACAACGACCTGTCGCAAAGATGGCGGCACCCTCTTCATGCCTAAGGATGCTGAGACCAACGCCATCCTCATCTCCCTGGCGGGCAAGCAAAGCCACTGGATCGGCCTCCATGATCAGCGCGAGGAAGGGCACTTTGAATGGTTGGATGGCTCTGCACTGGGGGCGTTTAACTCGTGGGACCGAGACAGCAATGAGCCAGATAACATACGCAATCAAGACTGTGTTCGTTGGAAAGTTGCCAAATGGCACGACAGAGCCTGCAATGAGTTGAAACGGTTCATCTGCCAAGTTGTTCCAAGTATGTTCTTTACACTTCTGGACTATTTAAAAAGCTTTCATATTTCCAAATTTTTTATTATGTATATGTTAATTTCTTCTAACGTCAAGGTACATTTACCATTGCCAATAAACTTTTGCCTGGCAAAAATGCCAATATATAGATTAAAAAGATATATGCGTTAAAAATAACTGATGTTTTTTTTACATTTTTGGAAATGGACTGGTAACGACAATGTACAGATACGTTTTCCACTACAGCTATCAGAGATGTAAACTTTTTGCCAACAAGTACTGTGGATATCATTCAATTTAAATGGGTGATAGTTGATTGTGATAGCTCTTTATATGTAATATAACCAACTCACACGATGATACGTGCTCACTAAACAGTAACGAACATGTTCCTGTCGGTGGCTTTACATATATTAAGAAAAACATTGTATAGATTAAGTATGACTGTGTTATAAAGTGTTCGGATGCAATGAGCATTATACCGTATGCGTAATACGTCGATGATAAACAATTAAACCTACTTTATCTATTTACTAGCTTCAACTGATCATTGTTTTGTGTTTTCTCCTGCAGAGCAAACCTAGGTGGTGGGCAGAACCCCAGTTTCCACGGCACAAAAGTTCCGTCATTGTCATCAACAAAATTGCAAGCTTTGAAGGAAAAGAAAGATAGCTGAATTATAGGCTTTCCATAACGAAATCCAGAAATATTTACCTGTTTGAAATTTTTATTTGATTATTTCTCAGCTACTTGCCTAAAGATCTTAATAGACTGTACTGAAATTAAGATGCATATGTGATTGTGACACAAAAATTACATTTTACTATTATCTTTTTAGTTTGAGAAAGGTCGTAACTGATGCTTTAAAGGAACTTACTTACTTACTTAGTTCGAGCTCCCGCTCGAACCAATCCTGAGAGTTGTCTCCAAAGCACTTTGTCCTCCATGGCCTTCTTTATCTCCCTGGTGTCCTGTAAGTTGGTGTCTTTGCGCAGATTATCCAGGAATGTTACTCTGGGTCTCCCTCTGCTCCGTTTTCCTTTTAACGGTTCCCACAGAACGAGACTTGATCCCAGGATGTCCGGGTGTCTAATGCAGTGACCGGCGATTTTCATCCTGCGTTCTCGTATTTTGTCTGTGACAGCAGGTAGATCCTGGTACAACTGTTGGTTTGTAAGTTTGAGTTGCCATGGAATGTTTAGGCACATTCGTAACATTCGGGTATAACAGCCGTTCAGCCTTTTTTCGAGTGATTTGGTCAGGGACCACGTTTCGGATCCATATAAGAGAATGGACTCAACTGTGGCAATAAACAGCCTTTGTTTGATTTTACGTGGTAGATTAGACTTCCAAATCTTGCTTAGCTTATGACAGCTTTTCCACGCTAATGCTTTTCTTACCTCAAAATCTGTTTCTGCGTCTTTCATCCAGGATCCAAGGTATTTAAAGTTCTTAACTACTTCGACAGTGTCGCCACTCTTAGTTTTAATAATGACTGGATCTTTCTGATTAAACGCCATAAGTTTTGTTTTGCCGGCGTTTAGCTGGAGCCCGACTTTAGCAGCTTCGTTTTCCATACGGCATAGGAGTTCTTGTGCCTGTGCTATTTTCTCGGCTAAAAGTGCTATGTCATCTGCGAAGTCGAAATCGCTTATGACGACTGGTGGGTGCCGCCTACTTTTTCGTCTTTCTAGCTCAAAGCCCAGTTCATATTCGCGATCTCCGATAGTTTGTCGCATGACATAATCTACGACAATAACAAAGAGATATGGTGCCAAGGTATCTCCTTGTAGGACACCAGCAGTGATATTGAATAACTCAGTTTCACCTTCTGGAGTAATCACTTTTGCCCGAGTATCTTGGTATAGAAGATTGATAGCATTTATTAGTGTGCCAGGAATCCCATAGGCCCTGAGGATTTCCATCATTTTCCCTCGGTGAACACTGTCAAATGCTTTGCGGAAATCCACAAATATGATGATTGCTTCAAGATTGTGGTTGAGCACATCTTCTATCAGCCTCCGAAGGGCAAGAATGTGAGAAGTTGTGGATCGCCCTGGGCGGAAACCATTCTGGTTAGGTCTCAGTATATTTTCAACTGCAGGCTGTATGCGATTTAAAATCATTTTGTTTGCGATCTTTGCTGCAATGTTTGTAAGCATGATGCCCCTGTAGTTGGTATAATCCCGTAAGTCTCCAGATTTAAAGGAAAAGAAGACTTTTAATAAAATTTTGAAAGAAAAATAATGAAAGGAAATGTTTTCAAGATGATGGAATAATTCTTTTTTTAATACAGTAAGATCGGTTACAAGGCTAATTCAATAACATCATTGGTAAAAGTTAAAATGACGGACAATATCATTGTCTGTGAGCAAAACATATCGCATGAAATTTTATGTTTTGGAAAAATAATATTGGCGTTTTTACCACACAATAACTTTTAGTTTTGTATATTATTGATATTTGGTTTAAAAATTAAGAATTCTAACACTTGTTCTAACCTTCAATACAAATCTCATTATTCAAAGTTTTCTTACTGTTGCAACAGACGATGGAAGTTGTAGCAGACGCCATTATTCCATTGTACACCCTCTTTGTTTATCTTTATGTTTTCTCATATGCCTTTTCTTTTAATGTATATAGCCTTTTAGACAGTTTCAGACGATAAAGATACATAAATGATGTCATATTTATGTTATGTTATGGATACATTTGAGTTATAAAGAATTTCGGCTGTTTTAACCCTCCGAAAATACCGCCGAAGATACAATGGTCTCTTGCATTGAGAGAGTAAATTTTAAAGATTGCTGTAAAGAACCCAGTGGCACTATAGTGATCTGAAACGTTATATTGACATATTTGACAAGCTTTGTGGTTTCAGAGGTGTAGCAAATATTTAAATATTTAGTTTCATGTAAATTCCCGTTTGTAGAACCACCAGGTCCCAGAGAACATTTGTGATCAGAGCTATAACCATCTGGAATACTCTCCCTAGCGAAACTCGAACAACCCGCTCCATCAGCTCCTTTAAAAACAAACTATGGACAATACTTGATAAATACTTGACGACAACTACTTAGTAAAACGGTACGAGTTCAATAGAAATGTATTGACAATGTAAATATAGTGCACAACGTAATTATAGTAAATGCATGATGTCTAGGCCAGATTTTACTGCAACCATCTGTTATGTAATAGTATGTTAACCTGACATATAAATATAGTACACAATATAATTGTAGTAAACGCACGACGACTAGGCCGGATCTCATAGCTTGTTAACGTTTGGCCACAACATCTGTTATGTAATAGTATGTTTATCTGAAGTGTAACTGACACTGTTAACTGTTACCTGTTCCGAATTGTTCATGTTCTTGTTGTGAGGGCTAGACCTTTATAATAGCCTCCGGCTAGTTGGGCAGTCCTAGCTGTATACATATGTGCTATCAGCCTAATAAATCAAATCAAATCAATGTTAAATGTTGTCAGGATGTAATAGGACCTGTAATTTCGGGTGTGTAACTTTTGGATGTTCTTGGTTAAATTACAACCGTATCTTTAAATATGGAACATAACAATAATACGGTTAGAATATTAAGAGCGAATGTCTGTAAGGATCAAACAATGGTGGCAGGGGTCAAAAAATCGATTTGGCTCAAACTTTGCACAGTGATAGTACTTGGCCCACAACCCCTCAAAATAGCTTTCTTTCCGGTCAGCACCGATCGTTGCCATGGTAACGGGCCAAACAAGTTTCAGGACCATTTTCCCTGATTTAGACATGAGAAAAGCATGAAATTTGGCATAGTTTAAGGCACGATTACGAGCAAGTGCTTTAGTATTATGGAAAAAACAAAGTATGGGCATAAAAGACCAACTAATCTGCTATTCTAGAATAGCTTTGAAATTTTCAAGAAGTTCGTTTAAAGGACCTGGGCAACCCTAACACAATACAGTGTTTGAGGCTTATGAAAAAGCGCTATTTCTGCCCAATTTCGAAGTGCTGTAACTCCAAAGATGGTGATTTTTTTTGCTTCAAATTTGAATCATAGATACATAAACATATGTGCTATAAAATGCATGGTTGCAAACCTTGGGCACTTCTTTGGTTGTCACGTGGTTGTCCTTAGAAGTAGGTCAAATTTTGAATTTGAGGGAAAGTATGATTTTCAGCCATGTTCAGGATACTATATCTACAAAAGAAAGAAAGCAATCTGATAAAGTCTTTTGCCCAAAGTAACACTATGTCTTGTCAATTAAATGAATACTTGGGGAAGTTGAAGTCTTGTGTCGTTGGTGTGCACTTGTCCCTCAAAGTGGGCCATATTTTGGATATGTACAGAAATTGACATATACGGCTATGTTTGAAGCTCTAGAGATAACAAAGTAGGATGTCATTTGAATTCAATCTTTTCAGGAAAGTACATATATGTATTGTGTATCAAATGAATACTTGTGGAGATTGGGGCCTTGTGTCGTTAGTGTGCACTTGTCCCTCAAAGTAGGCCATATTTTGGACATGTACAGAAATTGACATATACGGCTATGTTTAGAGCTCTAGAAATAACAAAGTAGGATGTCATTTGAATTCAATCTTTGCAGGGAAGTACATATATGTATTGTGTATCAAATGAATACTTGTGGAGATTGGGGCCTTGTGTCGTTGGTGTGCACTTGTCCCTCAAAGTAGGCCACATTTTGGACATGTACAGAAATTGACATATACGGCTATGTTTGAAAGTCTAGAAATGACGAAGTGGGATGCCATTTTAATTCAATCTTTGAAGAGGAGTACATATATGTATTGTGTATTAAATAAATACTTGTGGAGATTGGGGCCTTGTGTCGTTGTTGTATACTTGTCCCTAAAAGTAGGCCATTTTTTAAAGAGCAAATGTCTGTAATGATCAAACAATAGTGAGCGGGGTCAAAAATTGATTTTGCTCATATTTAACACAGTGATAGTACTTCGCCCACAACCCCTTGAAATAGCTTTCTTTCCGCTCAAAACCCATTGTTGCCATGGCAACAGCCCATTCAAGTTTTGGGGCCATTTTGACAGATTTTTGCGTCTCTACAACACGGAAATTGGCAAAGTTTAGGACGCGGTCACCGCCAACTGCTTTATAGTAACGACAAATACTTCAGGATATTATTAGAACAATGCATTAACTTGTACGAAATAGGTGTGAAGTTGATGTGCAGGCAGATTTCAATCTTTGGGCAACCTCGAAGTAGGTCATTTTCCGCAATTGTCCCCAAATTTGGATTTTGGGCTGTTTTTGAGCTGATGAAAATACCAAAGTGAATTTATTTTCAGACCCATCCTTCTACCATGTTTATTATAGTATTGGCTATCACATGGGTGATTTTGAGGGCTTCCTATTTTGTTCATGTCGTACGAGGGGTGATCCAAAAGTTCTCGGCCTCTCCCAAAAAACGTGATGGCAGAAACATTTTTCTTACACTATTTTTTAACATAGTCTCCTCTAACTTCAATGCACTTGGTCCAGTGATGTTCCAGCTTTCCTTTCCCTTGTGGAAGAATATTTTGTCTGAAGCCCTTAAAAATGCCTAAACCACA